TCCACCAGGCACACACTGGTGCACTCCTTAGAGTCTGCTTGAAGGAGGTTTGGGGTGTGGCACGCATCTATAGATGTTCAGCATGAGAGCAGCAGCAGAGGGAGCGCTGCTCCTTTTCTAGATCCTCACAGCAGGGATCTGGGTGGGCTGGCTCATTCTCCCTCCCAGGTCCTTCCAATTGGGAATTCCTGCACTTCATTGAGAAGTGTTCTTGGGAGAAGCATGGTACTGACGCTGGGAAAAGGCTGAGAACCCAGGCGTTAGTGTGTGCCTCTGGAGTCTCAGTTGGTGGCTCTCTGTCACTCTAGCATAGCAGGCTAGAGGGGACCTTGTGGCCCAACCATCTGCTTCAGGAAGACAGTCTTGGCAAGTTACCAGTCTTCCCACCCCTCTCCCTGTCTCTGCTGGTGCTCTGAGTCCCAGCATTCTAGGTCCACAAATTCATTACAATAAATCACATGTACAGGTGACTGATTTACAATTCAGGACACATATTCCAGTAAGTGGTCCATACCTGACTGGGAGGCATCACCTAAGAGGATAGTAAGAAGAATAAAAGTTATGTAGATAAATACACTTCACTTAGCTCTAGGCATGCAACCCTCTTTTTAGGGCTTTGTTCCTCTGAAGCCACATTTCTTAACCTCATTCACACCCAGGTATCAGTATATAGTTAACCACTAGAAGTTTTACTGGCTGATTTGGGAGCTCCTCAACGTTCTTTAGAATTCCTTTAGAATTGCTCTAAGGGCAGATTCAGGTAGCTAACCCACATCTGCACCTGCTTCTTAGAGCTGCAGCTCGTATATAAACCACCCAAATGATCTCTTCTTTGTCCTTTGACAAATAAACTACTTGCTGATTCTAAAGAAGTTGTTGGAAATTAGGAGTTTAAAACATAGAAGCTGGACATGGTACACTTCCCTAGAGTTCTTTGGATTGGGTGACAGGAAACAGAAGTGTGTTCCCAGGCTCTCAGGAGCAAGTTGGAGAGGAGCCATGAGGTGGAGAAACTCAGGGTAGGTGGGCAGAGGTGGATGCAATGACCCTAGAGGAAATGGCCCAAAGAAAAAAGTCTTCAAAGTCGGTGAAGCAGAAAGACACATGCTTCCCTGAGAACAGAAAAGTAAAGGATGAGCTATTAATACCAGTGACCCAGCTCTGTAGCTCAGCGGCTAGGGCGTCAGCCACATACACAGGAGCTGGAGGGTTTGAACCCAGCCAGGGCCTGCCAAATAACAATGACA